TGGGAATGGGGTAGACAATTGATAGAATGAAATGTTTTATATGTTGTATTCCTGAGAAAATAAAATTTGTTTACCAAAAAAAAAAAAAAAGAACCCCACCATTCATTTTTACAAACTGTTTGGACATTGTTGTTTATTAGGTTTTGAGGCTAGAAGCCAAAAATATATTAAGGCAGTAAACAATGGTAAAATATTTGTGACAAAAGGGGTCTTAGGTAAGATTCCTTTTGTTAGCAAGAAACATCTGTCATCTCTTCTCAAAGTTACAAATACAAGCATTCCTTAACCATAGCCTACATGTTTTATAGTAAATCAACACTGCAGCCCTAAAGAGTCATACTCTTCTAAGCCCATTAATTCAGTAGGCTTAAAAGCAGGGGTGTTGAACTCATTTGTTATGCAGGCCGGATTTGACATAAATTGGGCCGGGCCATATGTGTCATAAAATGTAATGCCAAGTAGCAGAGATATACACCAGTTTGGTGTAGTGGTTAAGCGTGCGGACTCTAATCTGGGAGAACCGGGTTTGATTCCCCACTCCTCCACTTGCACCTGCTGATGTGACCTTGGGTCAGTTACAAGCTCTGGCACAGCTGTTCCTGAAAGAGCAGTTTGTGTCAGAGTTCTCTCAGCCCCACCCACCTCACAGGGTGTCTGTTGTGGGGAGGGGAAGGGAAAGGAGTTTGTAAACCGCTCTGAGACTCCTTTGGGTAGTGAAGGGCAGGGTATAAATCCAATCTCTTCTTCTTCTTCTTCTATAAAGGATACGAACACAATTTAAGATATTAAAGCAGCTATTCCATTGGAGCCCCACATTAGGAGGGAGTGTGTGTTAAAACTAATACTTATCTGCAAAACTGAAGTTCCTTGAGTTTGTTGAACTCTTTGTTTTAGAAGGAGGAGGAGGAAGAGATTGGATTTAGACCAATTTCCAATCTTCACTTGGAGTCTCAGAGCAGCTTACAGACTCCTTTCCCTTCCTCTCCCCACAACAGACACCCTGTGAGGTAGGTGGGGCTGAGAGAGCTCTGAGAGAACTGTCCTTGGGGGAACAGCTTTGACAGAACTACGGCTTGCCCGAGGTCATCCAGCAGCTGCAAATGGAGGAGTGGGGAATCAAACCCGGTTCTCCCAGATTTGAGTCCACACTTACCCAGTACACCAAACTGGCTCTGGATCCAGGGGAACATGAAATGCCTGATTTTGGGTGTCCTCTTCAGCACTTGTTCTGCTATTATTCCATTGGCACTCCACATTAGGAGTGGCTGTGTGTTAAAACTAATATTTCTCTGCAAAACGAGTCCCCTGAGTTTGCAGAACTCTATATTTTAACCCTGGCTGGTTCCAAACCTCCCACACTCTTAAAATGTGCCTGCCTAAATTGGAAAGGTGGGGAAATAGTGGAAGCACAAGGATCACAGCAGATGGACCCCCCCCCCCAAGCTCCTACCTGTGAGGAGGACTACGAGTTGTGGCTGGGAAGTTTGGCAGTCCCGCCCTGTGCCACCACCCCCATCTATAGGGGGTGGTGCCTGTGCTCTCTGCTCAGAGGCAGCTCAAGCTCAGAACAGCAAGGATGAGCAGGGGAGGGGGGAGAGAAGAGAGCCCCATTTCTGGGCCAGATTAAATGAATTTGACATCCCTTCTTAAAGCGGTTTAATTTTGCTTAGGGCTGGACTGTGAAGGTTCTATTGCTGTTGAAATATGCACTGGGGTTCCAGTTATCGTAAAACCAGTATGTTTCTATTCCGTAGTGTTTATTTAGCAATAATTACCTTTTTTCTCCAGCTGTAGATTTGATTTTCTTCAAATACATAACAGAAAAATGTTGCCACTACTATCATATAAAATGGTCTCACAAGTCCAAATAACCACACTAGCTTTCTTCACCAAAAGAACAAGTTCCCGTTTCCTTTTTAATTTTAGGAATAAAGAATCATTAGTGTCCATAAATTTATACAGGTGGACATGAACTGGTGGTGCACAGAGCAAAATCCATGTTGAATTTTGGCCTGTGGGAAGCGATGTTCGGTGAAGCACATGTTCCACGGACATTCCTTGAACTTCTCTTTCTCTGTAGAATGGGCAACTGAAAAACATATACTCTACCAATTTAACTTCGCATGAAGTGCATGTTCATAGCCTTTCAGGGAAGGGGTTTTTATTGTACCTGCCTTGAATAACCACAGATGAAAGGGCAGAACATCTGACTAGGGCAAATGCCCTTCTAGAGTTCTTTTCCTCCACTGAAGTCAAATATGTAGCCTGCTTAATGGTGCTTTTGATATTTAGCAACACCCCAAGTCTTGAAACCTTAGTGTATCATATTGTCGTTCTCTTTGTTTAATTAGCCCTTTGGCTTGTTCAGATCCATAGGATAAAAGTAGCTGAGGTGAAAAGCCAATTCTATGAAAGTAAACTGCCTTAATCCAACATTCTGGAATATCACGGGAAGCAAGCCTTGTAGGTTGAAATGACCTTTCAGCCACACATAGATAGATAGAATACAAACCCTAGCTTCAAACCTAAGATTACCAGACTCCAATCGTACCCAAGCATTGGATACACAGTTAGGAACTTGCAGAAAACTGGAGATCAATTACTGTATGGAGTACCCCTCTAGACTGATGCAATTGACACTTCAGTGGAACGTGTCCATTCTACCTTTTTGCAAAAGATCATGGGGGTACCCAAGTGTGTTCCATATGCTGCTTTATGTTTGGGGTACAGACAGAATTTGATGGCTACTAAGGCATGGATCCACCCCATTAAATTTTGGTTGTGACACCACTTCAACTCTGACCGTTCTAGTTATATGTACCAACTACTTTCTGAATCTGCCAATTCTAGTTGGCTATAAGCCAAAATATGCTTTTTGAATTTACCCTGAGATTGCTGGGTGATTCCCACCATCCAATCAGGGAGGCAGGGACTTTTTTTTTTTTAAACTTCCTGTCTTTTGCCTGTGGGAGTTGCCCTCTTCAGTTCTTTTCCTGCCTCAACAGGGAGAGCAGCTTAGATCAGGGTTTGCCTTTATCTACTCTTTAAAACTCTAAATTCCTTATTCAACCTCATATGTCTTCTATCTTAACTACTTCGATATACGTCCTATAATTCTTTCACTATTGTTCCCTATATTCTAACCCTTTTCGGAGAAGAACAACAATGTTATAGATAGAGGCTGTCTTCAACAGCGGCGGCCATTTTAGGAGACAACGAGGGCTTTCTTCTGCTGAGGAGCTGAACACCCTCCTTATTGCTGGTTCCGGATGGGGCATAAGAGGAGCCAGCATGACCTACTCAGGCTTGCCTTGGCCACCCCAGCGAGATTGCCTGAGGGCACAAGAGGAGGCAGCATGACCTATAGCAGGCTTGCTTAGGCTATCCCAATGTGATTGCCTTAATCTGAGGGTGACAAAAAGTGCACCAAAAACAACACGTTACAACTTGCTGCTGGAGACCAAGGCAATCAGTCTGCAAGGCTGCAGGGAGATTCCTGTTCCATCTGCAGGCCTTGAAAGCTAGCAACGACTGGCTAATAGAGAAAAGAATCTCTATGGGACACAGACAAGATGCCAGAATTTCAGCGTTCCGGTAATGTATGCGAACCCAGGCTGTTCTTCCTACCTCCTGATTTCCTTCTCTTTTCAGAGTCCAGGGAGCTGCTGAGCGCCTTCCCACTCTATAAGCCATGTCAGCAACATAGCTTCTAATGAGAGCCATCTAAGCAACTACTCAGTGTACTAAGTTGCAGTGACAGTTGTATGCAATGCCAACAGTGGGTCTCCAGGTCTACACATGAGTAAGACACATGGATCAAGGCCCTTGATGTCCCCCCC